GGATAGTATAATTTTTGTTTCTATAAATATTGTAATTATATCCATGTCGTCTTAACTTTGATCTACCACACCTTTAATGTATATAATAATCAATTTGAATTTTTTTTAATTAATATATTATATTTATTATTTTTTTACCATCTTGTTTGTATCAGTTAATATATTATATTATTAGAGATTTGTTTCAATTATGTTTGAAATATTATTATTGATTAATTCTCAAGATGCTTTTTTTGGTCATTTTACAATCTTAACAGATAGTTTTTACCAAACATGATTTGTTTATCCGCTACCAGCTAGTTTGTGAAACATAACCAAAGTTTTTTTGGTTGATTTCGAATAACTTTTTTTTTCTTGTTCTTTAGTTAATTTTGAGGGACTTTTTTGCTTTTTTTTGTTGATATTTTTTGGATAATCTAATATCCTGAAGCACCCTTGACAGTTTAACATATGCACATTTCATAACCAAAAAGAAAAAAGTTCATTTGCAAAACTGGTTGAGTTGGTCCTTCATTGATCCACCCTGATGGGACAAGGCTACAACATAACTTGATAGGAGTAGGTACCTTGTTTTACGTTGTTAAGATCAAATCGATTAGGGGCACCTTTTCCGTCCCCCTTCCAATTTAGTCACTGTTCACATTCACGCTCTGTAATCATCGTTGTTTTGGTACTGGTATATTAATACAACGACAAGCAAACCTTCTGATTCAAGTATTTAATAATCATCTTGTTTAGTTAGAATAAGACAAGTTCGACTCGTCCTTTTATATTATCGACTTCAATTGGACCATTTGGAAACATGAAAAAAAGAAGCGTATGGACCATTGCACTTCATGGTTTGTCACCTTAAAAACTTTGGCATCTTTGTCCTTAAATATTGCAGTATAATAATACTTCAGATGCATTACTGATCATTTGTTGTCTATTTCTATCGGTACATGAATTATTGTCCCTGACATTTGATCTATCTTATATACAGATTATTGGTCCCTCACCAAGAATATTGAATTTTATATGATCGAAAATATTGATCTGTTAATAACATTTAATATTACCAAGAATATTTTAAAGAAATCTAAAGTTTTATTATTTATGAGCAAATACATAAAGAATGTGTACACATATTACATATATACATCATATATAGATACATACATACATATATATATATATATATATATATATGTATATATATGTATATATAGAGTTTGTTTCAAATACAATCTATCGTATTTGTACAACCAATGCAACCCAATATATTCAGATATTTATGGAAATGATGAGAGTTCATTTATTATGATTTGAATATTTATGGAAGATGAATATGGTTCATTAATTATGATCGATACTTTATATTAGGAAACAATAAAAACTTCTATGAAATCACATGTTAATCAAATGAAATGAACGGTTGAGATTGAGTTGTATTGGTTGCACAAATATCAAGGGTTGTATAATAACCAACCTCTCTATATATATATATAATAATCTATATTGTATATATTCATATTATAAGTATACCATATATAGATACATACATATATATATATAGTTGCTAACAGTACATTGATACATATATACTATGCATTTGTACATGACTAGCTATACATTAGAGTTGTTCGTGGCGGGATGACCTGTTGGACCCGGCCCATCCGCCCCCTAGAAATACGGGCTTCGAATTATCGAGAAAATGGACGGGGCTGGGTTTGTTCATTAAATTTAACGGGCGGACATGACAATGTAAAAATATATATGGACAGGCCCGCCTAACCCGCTTATATTTTATAATTAATATTTTTTTTACCATTAATTAAAATTAAACTAGTATATTTTAAAATTAAATTATTAAAGTTATAGGATGAGACTCTTTCGTTATTCTTAAGAACCGAAAAGTCTAAGGGGTTGTTTGTTTACCTCTTAATGTGAATATTAATGTTATACATAAAAAATAGGAATGCATTATTGATTTTGTAGAAGTCTGAATTTTGTTTTTCATTTCTTTCTCCACTTGTTGAGATACATGCGTTACTTTAGTTGCTTAAAATTTTAATTGCAACGGTGTTTTTTTCTTTACTTTTTGGTTTCACATTTGTTAATTAATTGCTAGTGATCAAATTTATAAATATATAAGAGTTACAGTTGTTAAGCCCATTAGCCCAAGGGCAAGCCCGACCTGTTTATAGGGCGGGTAATAGCAAGTTGTCAAGCCCGAAAAAAGGGCTTGCGTTTACAATATTAGACCCGTTGGAAAAAAAAAAGGTCCGACCGCAAATCATCACCTCTATTATACATATATACTATATATAAAACTCAACATGACTCAATGACAATACATACATATACATTATATAACACTAGTAAGGTATCTGCATGATGTTGGAGTGTGCATCTCGATCGAAAGTCGAGAACATAAAATGTCAATCATGTTTCATTTTTGTCTTTTTTTGTCCATCCTGATACTAGCTGTATACCCATACTAATGTACTTGAGTGTAAATTTTGAATGCATACCTAGTACAAATAGGTTTTTACCAAATAAAATATATATGTTGATTCATTTTACATTTTTTTGTAGAATGTGGGATAGAATAAAAATCAAATTAATGTTAAGGTTGTGAAAAAAACATGTTTCCGGGTGAAAATGATTAGTAAATCGGCCTAGACACCATGGTTAAAATGCCAGTGCCAGTGGCTAATTTTATTTTTTTTACCTGGAGAATATAATAGAAGTTGAGAATTTTAGTCTTGGTTGCTACTATGATTTTGAAGTTGAAATTTGTGGTTCACCGACATAGAAACTGTTTTCAATGGTCTTCTTAAATGCTAGCATTGCATCAAATGATGACAATATGCTAAAAAAGTGTTCGTCATAAGAACATGATACTCTTGACCCAAGCCTCTTCGGTCGTGTCGATTACAGATTTAAGTTTTTCTTTCTTCACCAACCCAACAAGATAATCCAAGTTCTTGGCTTTCGGTCAAAAGAATCCAATTTTCAAGAAACTGAGTTTCTTCATAATAGAGTCAAAAATACTTTGTACTAGTTGTTTTTTTCCGACCAATCAAGATCAATACCAAGGTTTCTTCACAGTAACTTGTATCTCTTAAAAATTGCAAAATAATTGTAACACCCCCTTTTTAAAATAGTATAGATGTGTATTAAGGCCCAAGACAACATTTTAGGGGGGCGTTTATCAAATGTTTACTCGGATAAATGCTTACGGGTAAAATTCAACATTATTACTTACTTACCAAGTAAGATTTTAGTCTACCAAAACAATATTGTATGCAACAATTTATCTGATAAGTACTAACCGTGGTAAGAGTCATCTCGGGTAAGCCCCTCAGTCCTTGCCTTGGTTCTTACCGGGTAAGATTCTTGGTCCTTACCATATCCATCCAGTAAGATAATGTGACTTGTTAAATACTTACCCGGATAAACGTTTAACAAACGGCCCCCAATACTTGTTACAACCCATTACAACCTACAATAATCCATCAAGACCCATTACAATACATTATGGCCCGTTAGAACCTATTAAAATCCATCAAGATCCATTGAAATTTGAAACCCTTTAACAAATTAATTAGAGTGTCATCCGTTAGGGATCGGAAAAAAAAAACGTGCCCGTAAGTTGATCAGGAATGAAGACAAAGAATCCCGAAAATTTATATACTTTAATATATAAAATACTAAATTGTATAGACGGGAAAAATCCACGATGGGATTGGGATCCTCAATATCCTCAACCCCGTGGCCATCTCCATGTCGCTAATCTATGGAGAAGTTTTTGACATCGTAGACGGATTACTAACGTATACGAGGTCGTTGATAAATCATCGGAAACATATTACCGACCCTGTCATATGGACATCAATGATCCCGGGTTCTAGCTAACTTACACAGATATTCACTCCGCACCTTGTAACTTATATAGTTATATTTTAGTTTAACTAATAGACATTCTATTCACATGTGAATCAAATTATACCAAAAAGTTCAATTATTCACTAAAATCACCGTGGACATTTTGATCGACTAAGAAATACCTTAATCCATTGATATCTTTTACATAAATACATCAAACAGCAGGATTATTGATCATAACTTTAAAAGGACTAATTTCTTACCGAAACTCAAGTTTTGGTGACAATCGATTTATAATTCGCCATCGACAAGCTCTTATGAGCCGCCTCAGAATCGAGAGGAAAGAAAAACGGATAGAGTTCGTATCGAACATAACAACTGCTGTATATAACTCTACACCCCTTCTTGTTATCACAATACGTCGGTAAGTTCCCGATAGCAATCGCTAAGCACTGCCTGCACGAAAGCTCCGACAAGTCACGTGTGCACTGCACCAATCCGTAAAGTGTCGAAAATGGCGTCAATTTCGTCTGCCCTTTCCCCAACCCTTTGCTACCCGCCACAGCCGCTAACGAGCTGATCCGGTACATGAGTGCACCCAGCCCTTCATTAAACTTTTCCGGGTCCGTAACATTCTGAACGTTGTAGTAAAAAGTTCCATATCCGGTATCGAGTTGGCCGATGAAGTTTTCATTGTTGTATCTTAAGAAACAGTACTCGTACCATATTCTGGCATCTATACGATTCGGGCACATCTTCCGGATTTCGTTGGCTGCTTCTTGGATACAAGATGAACAGTCCTGGCTGCTGACGTCTCCTCGGCATTGGGCTAGTCCGAAGACTTGGGTTCGACCGTAGCCGAATGAGGTAGCGCTGTAGCCCAGTTGGGATGTGGCTTGGACCAGTTTGGGCAAAAGGGAGTTGATGTTTCTGGTTAGTTCGGTGGTGGTGGTGTTCGAGTTTTCATTGCAAAGTTGGGCAGATGGGTCTGCTGATTCTACGTACAGAATACAGAGGGTGAAGATTAGGAGATGATGGTAGAAAAATGCCATTTTTTTTCTGGAGGTTTGATTTAGAAAATGAATTCAGTTTTCTTGATTTATAGTGGTTTTATAATAGAAAAATCAAGAAATGGGAAGTCATTGAATTTATTGAATTATAAAAGAAAATATTTGAATTAATCAAATGAATACATTGGAATATGATAAATATATATGTCACAACTTTATATCCACCAATCATGTAAAGACATGTCATTATTATATTTACTCGGTAAATAGATGATGTGCGTCTTATTGGCGGGTATTTAAGGCCTTGAAATTTAGGACACATGATTTTTATCCTAAGAAATGGGAAACGGTAACAGAGTGGCGTTTTGGTTAAATAGAGATTTTCATCAGATAAAAATCGATGCCTTAGGTTCCTACATATCATATATATTTTGGTTTGTACTTTCTGATATGTCGAATGTACATTAGTATTAGTTTTTCTTCTTGTATCAGCAGTTGTTAGTATTACTATCTGTGTGTTTTTGGTTGTTTTTAATCTATTTTCCGGTTATTTCTCACTTTTGTCGTTGTTACCTTTCTTTGTCTGTTTAAATATATCTATTGACTGATTGTAACCAGTATAACTTGTAGTTTGCTCTGTTATCTCTTTCAGTTTTCTCGTTTTATAAGCTAACGTTTTCAATGAACTTCTTAATAAAGATGTTTGCATATATCATACGCCCAAATCCAATATACCTGTTATTTACTGTGTCGGTTTAATTTGTTTTACTTGTACAAAAAACAACTAGAATTCCAATATGACAACTTAAAATGACGGATAAAATAGCTTGTAAAAGAAAGTTATACGTTCAATAAAGAATTAAGTAAAATATACCGCATAGGTGGGAGTTTTGAATAAAAGGCTAAATATTGTGAAAAGATAATAATAGAATATTTATATGTGAATTATTAAAAGATTTTATTTAAATATACATATGTTGACTTGGGTTCACATGAAACCAACATGTTTTCATGAGAACACTTTTTACACTTAAAACTTCACAGCAAAACACTGTAAAGGTAAAAAAAACAAACCTTAACAGCAAAAACACTGTAAATGTTACCTTCACAAAACACTGTAAAGGTAAAAAAACCGAACATTAACAGCAAAAACACTGTAAACGTTACCTTCACACCGTTTTGTTGTAAAGTTTCAAGTGTCACGAAAACAGACTGGTCTCATGTGAACCCAATCCCACATGTTAATCCATATATATAATTTGTAACGTCGATTTACATATATATTTAAATTTTTTAATTATTTAGATATAAATATATTTAATAATTTGATTTAAACCACTCGTGTGTGTGTATAACAATTCAACTCTTAATTGATTGAAATATAACAATTCAATAACAATAAAGTTGACTTTGTTTCGAGAAGCATAGCGGGATATTTTTGACCAAACTTCAATGAGTTGACTTTCTGGAAATAAACGTTAAAAGTCAATGTATGGAGCTTCTTTTGACAATGATGCCAATTTGGATTACGATTAAAGTTAATTACTATCAGACATAACAAATACAAGAAATGTCTAGTGTTCGATCTTGAGCCCTACTAACCTTAGCCGCTGAATGGGCCAAAAAAAATACCTCATTATATTGGTGTTTTTGAAAATGGATTCCGTGTAAGATTGATTAAGGTCAAAGTTTTAAATTTCTTGAAGCGTGGCATGGTTATGAGGTCAAGCCTCAAGCTTTACGAGTTATGACGAGATCACGACGTTTTTAAAGGTGTGTTCTAAAACAACAATATATTTAGGGTGTTCTAAAGTATTCATTTTCGACTCTTCATGTACAGGAATGAGAGTCGGTATTTATCTATTTAGGCTTTTAGTTCTTAGTTTCCTTTCTATGTTTATTTAAGTCTTCTTTCTCTTACAAAATCATCATTTATCCCTAAAATAACGCATTATAACGCATCATAACACGTTGTAACCTGTAATAACTCGTTACAATGGAGCCATAGAGGTTAGTGTCACTGCGAACCCAAGTCGTGACGCTATAACGCGTCGTAACCAGTTATTTAAAATTATAATTAGGGTTATCGATAAACAACTATTATGGATCATGAATATAGAAATACTTAGTTGATGGTTAACCTAACTCCACCACTAATGTCCAATGGTGGGTAAATGTGCATAAAATAGTTGTACTTGTACATTATGCAATGGTGATTGTACCTCTATGTGGTAGTGGATTCTTTCATAAGGGCATGATTGTGGCCGATATTTTTGAAGCATTTGGTGTTGACTTGGTCAATTGGCCCACAATGTATAGGAGTCTTCCATTCATATGCCTACCATTTTATAAAACTAAAAAACAAACAACCTTAAATATATGCTTCATTTATATAATGTTTTTTCTAAAGTAATTTTTTAGAGAAAAAAAGGTTGACTATGAATTATTTTAATCGGTCTCATTTGAAATCTGTTTTTAAAGAAATTAATGTTAAGGGGTATTTTTTTGCTCACTTAACGAGCGAGACTAATCTGGAGGAGAAGAAACTCAGGTTTTGTCTTGTATTTGGACAAAGTCGTTCCATCTTTTTGTCGACTGATTTGTTGGATGAAGTGGAAATTGATGGAATCTGGTTTAAAAGAAAGTTTGGAATTAGAGCATCCATAACAAAGGTTCATCTTAGGGTTTTTACAAAAACTTTCACTGTGAGGCAGGAGTTCTTGTCCAGTCACAGGTTCTTATTAGAATCCAGATGCTTGAACAAGAATTTTACGATTATTTTATTTATTATTTTTTAAGCATTTTATTTTTTTAAATAAATCTATATAAGTTAAAATTGATGTAAAAAAAATATAAATTAGTTATTATAAAATATTTTTTTTAATTTTGTTTTATTTTTTGTTTCTTGTAAATTTATATACAAGTTTTTGTATTAATAGGTTTAATTGTTAATAATCTAATTATATGATTATATTATTTTGTTGAACAGATAGATAATTCAACACAAATATTTGAAGTTTTACTCATGAATTCCGATAAGTGCTCGAATAAAGTTCTTCGTCAACTTTGTTCCGACTTAGTTGAATATATTTGGTCGAACAGAAATTACAAGTGATCTATATATATATTACTATTTATTATTAGTGTTAATTTTTATAAAGATTAATATTGTGTAATTTTACAATTTTTTAATTGTAGTATA